GCAGCTGTTGAAACTGATCAGGCTGATTCCAGGAAGCTGGGGGCAGAGCAACTCTGCCTTCGGCTTCCTGTAGTCAGCCCCTGGTCAGTTTCAGCGGCAGTGGCTGAATCTGGAGCCAGTTCCAAGTTACGTACAAATTCAACTTAAGAACAAACCTATAGTCCCTATCTTGTACGTAACCCGGGGACTGCCTGTACTGAGATACCACTGAACCTGCCTACCTGCTCTTTGTGGCACCCCACCAGCCTGGCCTGCTGAGCCAGATCCTCTAGTCTCCTCCAGCGATGGTACAGAGTTGGGGTCACAGCCCCCAGTAAATCAACACAGACACTGACATTAGCTCTGGGAAGGGTTAGTAAAAGGGAGTAGGCACAGCATTCAGGTGCATAGCCTCAATGGGACCAGAAAAATCTATCTTCCTCTGTATAAACTTTATACAGTGTAATCTCATAAATTGTTCACCCAGTTTATCAATTAAAAAGTTATGCACAGCTGTTGTTCTGTGCCAGGATAATATTTACACTGGGTTTATTAATAAAATGTGATTTTATTAAGTATAAAAAGTAGGATTTAAGTAGTTGTAAGTAATAGGAACTTACTTTTACTTCAGGGGGGAGGGATAGCTCAGTGGTTTGAACATGGGCCTACTAAACCCAGAGTTGTGAGTTTAATCTTGTAGAGGCAATTTGGGGAAAAAATTTGCCAAGGATGGTACTTGGTCAGGCTGTGAAAGCAGGGGACTGGACTGGATGACCTTTCAAGGTCCCTTTCAGTTCTAGGCGATAAAAAATTAATTAATGGAGATTGCCTAATTATTTTTACTTTGATCTATCTGCTGAGCAAAACAAAATGTGCCAGCTAAACTGAAGACACTAAGGACCTGTCTACACTAGGAAATTATTTCAAAATAACTTATTTCAAAATAATAATTCCCAAAATAATAATTTTGAAACAGCGTCCCCCCACTACGGGGAAGTCTCAAAATTAGTCTGAGGCAGGCTTCATTAATGTGGACATGCTCCTTCAACTTCGAGCCCCAGGAAGCGCTGGGAGTAATTAGTTTGAATTACTCTGGGGAGTAGTTATTTCAAAATAGCTACACCGGATCGTCCACGCTACCATTATTTCAAAATAACTATTCAACGTTAGCATTATTCCTCGTAAAAAGCAGGAGTTATTTTGAAATAATGGGCTTGGTAGTGTGAACATTCTGCTTGTTATTTCAAAATAAGGGAAATTATTACAAAATAACTCCCTAGAGTAGACCAGAACTAAGAAACTTGCTACATATAAAATTTCACCCTGAAGTTTTTAACCAGCATCTGTCACAGACTGGGCAGCCTTCCCCATCTGGGCCTAGTCTTAATATTCAGTTCCACATGTTTGCAGCAGACATCTTAGATGGTAAACAGGGGTGTCCTGGCATCTGGCTATCATCCCAATTGGTTTCCTGCTTATATACAGATTTTACCCAAATCTGGAATCCTTTGTGTTCAGTTCAAACTTTTCTCACCTTCAGTGAGAAAGTATGATATCCAAGATGGGTTCCAACATCAGGTG